CCTTTAACATTTACTGTTGAAGTACACATCTTCTAAGTGTATATTAAAGTAATTGTCTGTTTAATTTAAATGGCATAGTTTTTTTGTTCCGGAAAACCTTTTTAAAATTACTCTATTTAGCTAGATTGTGTTTTGGCTTTTTTATGGAATTACAAGGGACCTACTTCTCACAAAAATTTTAATGGAAGACAATATATAAGAAGTCACCGTAGTTTTTAATTTGAAATAGATGTGTCTTTATTCAAAATTACTGCAGTCAGATTGCCTCAAAATTTTTCTGTAGTATCACAACGGGTTCTCTTCTAACAGATCAAGTCTATTAGGTATTTATTCGCAAATAATTTTTACCCAAAACTCGCATAGTCAGCCAGACTGTCTCATATATGTGGTTGGTCCACTGTTTACAGACTTAGGCATATTGAAGATGATTTGCAAAATAGAAAGGTTATTATCTAGGGCAGAATAGTGACATCTCTATACAAAATTACAATGATTAGTTAGCCAGATTAAGTTGAGATGGATCCAGTGCTTATAAACTAAGTATTATGGAGGGGACTTACAAAACGTCACGATGATTCCTTTAAACCGAAAATGGTATTTCTACCCAAACTTACTATAGTTATCAAGATTGTCCAAAATATATATACTGTGGGTGCACTGCTTACAGGCTAAATCTCATAAAAGATGACTTACAAAATTCTTGTTACCTTATTGGACCGACATATCTTAAACTGCTACAGTCAGTCACATTTCTTACTACTTGAGTCTTATAAAAAACGAGCTGCCATTCGTAACTACTCATTTTGATAAGAAAGTGTTTTTTTGTGTTTAATTATATTTTAATTTAACAATAATTTTAATGATACATTAATTTTATGAACTCTTCACGTGTATAAACCTTGCTGTGCATCCTTGGATTTTTTAATGAAACCGGCATACCTTTCCGGTTAACTGCCTGCCACATTTATCTTCTGAGTGCAGTACTTTTTCGAATTAAAAACATTTCCATGCAAAATAAAAACGTAATTAAAAATTTCTTTTTAAACAAGACTCACAACAACAACAACAACAACAACAACAAAAGATACTGAATTTACATTAAAAAAAAAATTGTTTATCTTCTGTAACAAAGACAAAGAAGCGGCCAAGCACTTTTATAAATATTTACGAAAACTCAGATGAATAAGTCGGTCATTTTTCTCGAAGGCAGCAGCTAGCAGCCAGCAGCCAGCATGTGATATTTTTCTATCATTTCATAATGTTTGTAAACGAAAATATAATTATTATTATTTTCATTTTTAAAATTATCTTTCTTTTATGCCATAAAAAGCAAAATTGGCTGCTTTTCAAGAACTTTTTCTGCGCATTTCGCAAAAAAGATTTTCCATTTCAGAAAATAAAAATTTTACGGAAAATAAAGAGTCTTGCGCCCCTGTCGCGCCCTCTTTTTTTTTAAGAATACAAAATGAAAAATGAAAATTTTCTTTGTGCAAAATTCTGTTGTTTTTAGAAATTTCCTATGTCGCAGTCGCAATCGCAATCGCAATCGTCTACGTCGCACGGCACTGGGATTTCCGGATGTGGGTGTGAAAAAATATTTTCGATTGTCGACACATTGTCTGACGTAGCGATGCTATTTTGATGAGCGTAGAAAATGGTCTAAAGTCATTTAAATCGCGTTGGTCTAAAACGAAACGAAGTGAAAATGCCCTTTTCACACACAATTTTATAAAAAAGCAATATTTTGACGTTTTGAGGTCAAATCGCAAAAATTCTCGATTGTTGTTAAAAAACAATTCTATAATTTATTGTTTAAAACATTAATTGCTTTTCTTTATTGTTTTAAGATAAATTTTGTTAATTGATTTGATTGTTTTTGTTTATTTACGCATTGCCATTTACTTTTATTTACACAAATTAACACATTTCTGTGCTTGACCAAATGCGGGGAGAGTCATTTCCCTCAATGCGTTTCACGCAATTTTTTTTTATTTTTCAAATTGGCGAAAAGCCAAATTTTCAGTTGAATAACCTGATTTTTATGAAATGAAAAAAATATATTTTTTTAACTGAAAGTGAAGTATATAGTCTATTCAAAAATAAAATAAATAAAAAAAAAAATTAATTAAAATTAATCTTCACTTAATGAAAAAAAAATTAAAAAAATATATTAAAATAAATTTTAAATAAATAAGTTTCAAGTGGATTTATTATTTATATTGACAAATATATTTAACAAAAAAATTATTGAATTTAATTAACTAAATCAAAATTTAATTATTTTCAAACTTTTTCCACAAGATATTTTTGTTGCACTATTTAAAATAAAAAATTGCTTTATTTAATAATGTATTTTAAATATATTTTAAAAATATTTTAGAACTATTTTAGTGTTTATTAGAATTACTTTATTAATAAATAATGAGTTATACATTTTATTGAAGTCAATTTCAATTATTTATTAATGAATATTTTAACAAAAACTTGGGAATCAAATCATTAAGTTAATTAATAAATTATTAATTTATAATTTAATTTACTTCATAATAATTTAAGCTCTTAATATGTTGCTTTTATTACAACCAATAATTTAACAAAACTTGAACGAAAGCTTTTCAGTTTTTTTAAACAAAAGCTCATTTTTCTATGCTTTTTATTTGAATGAAACTAAATGAAAATGGAATATAAAATTTTAATACACTGAAAAATATTTTTGATAATTGAAAAATATTAGATGCAAATTCCAATGCAATTATTATACATTAACATTCGTTTTATTCTGTATAATCATTATTTACATATTATATTAAAAAGTCTCTAAATGCATCTCATAAAACCTATATAGTTAAAATGCTTATCATAATATGATTCCTACAACTATAATAAACAAAAACAAAATAAAATTTTATATGAATTGATAAAAATTAAGAAGAAAAGGATTAGAACTTTTATAAATGGGATATGAACCCATTAGCTTAATTAGCTTATCATTTTATTAATATTATTTATAAATATATTTTAGTGTAATATGGCGTTTACACTGGCTGAAAATGGCTCATTCTGAATGAGTCATTTGAAAGTGTTTACATTCGTTGTATGTCATTTTTTCTCATTTCAAACAGCTGATTTTTCAACTTGCATGTTGATTTAATTTTTGGTCTGTGCCAAAAAAATGTTACAGGAAGGTTAAATATACCTTCAAACCTTACAATATAAACTGAAAACTTGTTTCTAGATTCGATTTATTTATTTTTGGGAAGTAGAAATTCCAAAAATTGGTGCATCGTTTTAAAGAAAATGTAACCACCAAACATTTGTTTACCTTTTTTTGTAAATATGTCAAAACAGCTTTTTCAAACTGTCAAAATGCCATGAAGAGCTTTCATTTAGGGTATGTTCAATGGATTCCTTTGCATTTGGAACGTATGTGGAATGCATTCGAACGTCATACAGAATGTGAGAAAATTGCTCATTTTTGTGCTTGAAATTTTATATGCAAGAATGAGCCATTCGATACTCATTTTCGATTTTTGACCAAAATGAGCCATTTTCGGCCAATGTAAACGCCATATTAGAAGCACAAAAGATTTTGATTTCAATTTAATAACAATTTTATATTAATAATATTACAAATAATATTAATATTAATAATATTATATTATTAATCTCATATTTTAGTCTAATTCTTGTAATATTATTAATGTTATTTACTGTAATATTATTACAGTTATTTACAGAACTGTATCTTAAAACTGTATAATACAATAATAATTTATACGCATATTTTTATAATGTTTACAAAAAGTGTTATTTTCAGACAAGCTGAAAAACAAATTATTTTTTTTTCTTTTTCGCATTTGCCAAAATCGATAAAATAATTAAAGCAAAGAACTTGAATATCTGCTTAAACAGACAACATTGTTGCATACGTTCAAAACATTTCCATACGATAAATATAGGTACAAGTTTTCACGAGCACGAAACACATGTCAAACAAAAAAAAACAAAAAAACAAAAAAACAGAAAAACAAAGTGTGAATAAAAATAAAGCAGATAAAAATCTATATATCATTATTTACCTTAAATCGGTTTTATTTAAAAAATTAAAAATATAAATGAAGTAGTGGTTAAAAACTTTACTAATATTTTATTATTTACACTAAGAAACTTTACTTGCTTAACACTTTGAACTTCTTTTTAAAAATACTATAAGCTTGCTTGATTTTCCAGAGTAAAATATTCAGGTAATCTATTCCAAAATAGAAATAATGAAGTATTGCAGAAAAACTAAAATGTAAAAATAAGTTTTTTATTCACTTTATATGTATTTGATTATTCTATATAGAAGGTAAATAAATTTCGGTAAGACTTATTGGTCTATAGCTTGAGTTCATTTTAATTTTTTAAAGTTTAAATCATATATATAGTTTTAAGCTGCGTGATCGATTTTGCAATGTAGTTATCTATCTATCTGCTTATGTGTACACCTAAATGTTTCAATTTGATAATTATAACTGTTAGATGGTTAGATGAACTTGAAAAAAATTACCTATATCATGTCACATCAGCATATAAAAAAATTTTCTATAATGTCCAAATATTATTGAAAACTTTTTTATATAGTTTTTTTAATTAATTTTATATACAAACTGGATGTTAGCAATTTATATATATATTTTATAATTATGCACTTCAAAACAATTTATATATATATTTTATAATTATGCACTTTAAAACAAAACATATTATAGTAGCATACACATCAACTCTTGTGTAGAGTGCAATACGATTCTATAACGACCCACACTTTTTATGATTTCTCAGCAGAATTGGTTAAAAATAGTTTCTCTCTCATTTCATGATCACAAACACAAAAGCTCTTTAAAATCAGTTCTTGGAATTATGTGAATGTGCACAGGTGCCAAAATTAAAAGCTGGCAGCTCAACGATCACAAAACTAAATAAATAAAGTTTAGCATAAATAGAATTAAATATTAAAATATATTTTATCAATAAAAAGTGAATATATTTTTTTATTAGTTTTTATAAAATTTAATAAAGTGCAAGCAAATTGCGTAGAATGGCGCATGCCGTAGTGAAAGTTGTGGAACGTTGCGAAAATGCACAAGAAAACAATACATTAGGTGAATAAAGTGTTAGATAAATTTTACAACAAATAATTAAAAATAATATAAGAAATAATTGTATTAATATAATTCAAAAATATACAAGTTTTAATAAATTATTTTATTTTTAGAAATATGTGTTGTTGTTAGAACTTGTGCTCATATGCCGCCTACTCATATGTGTGTTTCAATGCCAAATTGTTTCTATTGTCAAAAAAAAAACCTTAAATAATATAATATTTAAGGTGGTATTTACTGCCTTAAATTTTATATCATTTAAGGTGTTATTTTACTGCCTTACGAATACGACTATTTTTTTTTTTCATATAGAAGAAAATATATTGATATTAAATAAATAAATACAATATTATTATCACAATTATTTTTACTTTCATTATATATATTTTTATATTTTTTTTTGAATATTTTTTTTACATATTATTTAGTTGAATTCTTAATAATTATTTTTGATTCTTTTATTTACAGATTTGTCTGAGTGTCAATTAATGCACATACCTGATGCCGTTTACCATTTGATGCGAAACACAGAACTTAAGACTTGCGATCTCAGTTGCAATGTGATTAAGAAGATACCCCCAAAATTCGCTCTTAAATTTAATTTAATAACAGGTAATAATTTATTTTAATATTTCTATTAAAAAATAATTAAAAAGAAATATTGTTATTCTAATATAAAAAACTTAGGATTGTTTAAAATATATTTTTATTAGAGATATTTCTTCTACTCAACTATAAGTTTTGTTAAAGGTTGAGTACATGTCATAATGAACTGCCCATCTATATCTAATTATCCCTGTTAACTTTTTTATGGATTAAATTATTTTAATAATTATTCAATACAAATCCCAGATATGCCTTAAAGCCCACAAATATTCCAGGAATATGTATATAGAATATATAATATTCTTTTCATTAAAATTTCATAACTGGTCTTTGTCTTTGTTAGACCAGTTAACTCACTTGAGATTGCTTGAATTACATACTTAACTGGTCTAATGAAACCAGTGGAAACGTACTATTAGAAATAAGAGAAGAAACCATTGTCATATCAATGTGGCGAAACCATAAATTAATAGATCTCAACTCGGTTTGTGGGCTGGGTCTAGCTAAGAGTTGGGCGAAGTCACGGAAAGTAGAAAAACAAAGAATAATATATAGTTGCTTAAGGTCTCCGCTGCCTTGTTCCACTAGACAGGAACTTGTAATGGATTTATTTAAAGCCGGTATTCCAGTTCGACTAACCCACAGAATGATGACAATATTTATAAGCAATACGTTTTCTGTTCTATTAGGTATTTATTGCAATACAAAATATCTATAAAAATTCCATTGCAATAGTTCTTTAGAACTTTCTATCACTATTCCTTGTATTCTATACTATAAAAAAATATTAATTAGTAGAATAATGTCAATAGAAAGCACAAATTCGATCTGCTTGGCATAAGTTGCCTGGCCGAGCTTCATCCTACAAAATTAGGGACTTAGGCTGAGTTCATAGAATTGTCAGGTTGTTTCATCCTTACCTAACGGAAAAGTTTTTCCCCTTCGACATTGCTTGCATGCTCTATGCATAATCAAACTCCAAACCTGTGCTACTACAACAGGACATTATTTCAGCTTAAGTGACCTCTTTTAAGTACAAAACCGCCACAGCAACCTAACCGGACCTGACTTGAGTTTTTACTTTCACACTAAGATATTATTAGTTAATGATTATGTATTTCCATTTCAGATTTGAACTTGTCACACAATCAATTGTCCAGAATACCAGATGAGTTGGCAGATTTGAACTCCTTGGCACGTTTAAACATTTCACATAATTCATTTATTGTACTGCCACCAGTTGTGTTCAAAATGCCCAAATTACGCGAATTGGACGCCAGCAATAACGCCATCATAGGTAAGTGAATCAATCTCAACATCATTCATCCAATAATAATTTTAATATTTCCGCAGAAATCGACACAGATGAGATGGTGACCAGTGATTGCTTAGAGTTAGTAGATTTAAAACACAATCCCTTATGCCGCGTCTTTCACCGTAAATTGCAAAACATCAATGTACCGTTCCGCATCGAAGTCTCAGAGTACGACGAGGATGCAGACTGGTAGTTGCCTCCCTATTTGAGATCATCCTATTTGAAATGATGTTCGACATTGCACGCACATCCAAAAGAGGCATGATATACATACTTTAAGTGCAATGTCTTCAAATATATACTGCGAAACATATCTCATTTAGTTTTAGGCACATACATTTATGTACATTTAATCCATTAGAGAACTCGATATTGTAAAAATATTTAGAACAAATATCTAACTGTAAAATATTTATATAATCTAGCATAATGACATGTACTTAAGGCCTTGTAGCTGCAACTGAAGCCATGAATGTCTAAGGCACTTGTCAGTTACTAAGGCGCATTCTAGTTGTAAGGCAATTCGACAATAACTCAGAACTCCAAAGATTTTTTTTATTAACATTTATGCATGTAGAAATTTAGTTTAAGTCAAATTTATTGAGATTTTTTTACTGTGATTACTTAAAGTAAAGAAATTGTTATATACTATATACATATATATATATGTATGTATAATTATAATCCTTATGGCAAAGCATAGAGCGCAGGTCCTTAGAATTGTTTGTAAATGTAAATAGAAAGTATCTTTTAGTATTTCTAGTCAAGCATCAGTTCTTTTTATGATATATGAACGGACCAATTGCCGATAATAATTATGATTTTATTAAGTTTATTTACTTTGTTTACATTTTTGTAATTAATTTTTAAATTAATGTAAAAAAATTAAAATTTGTACTTAGCTTAAAGCGACACTTAATAAACTTTTTGTTTGACTCTTTGCATGCAAAGAGATATAAATTTTGTATTTTTTATAGACGTTACAACTGAAAAGTTTTTGATTAATTCTAACGATCCACTAGGGTCCATTATACTACCGTAAAAAAGTCAGAAATCAACTTGAATCTTCTTAAAGTACTGTTCAAGGAGTAGTATTGAAGGTGGCTAAATTCTATGAAAAGTCCTCTAACATGATAAACCGTCGTTACGCACTCTGAACCTCTAAGTCTCTATCATGTTAAACCGTCGCAGTTCTACAATGGTTCCTTGAACGGCTGTAAACCTATATATCATTGATGGGAATCTCTATGAAATTACTAGACTTTTCGTAAATAAAACGGAACCAACTTGAGTACAGATATCGTATTCTAATCAAGATTAACTCTAAGGCTGTTGTGATTGGCGAAGCTTTAAGTTCTCATATGTCAAAATTTACCGTATGATGAGGTTAGGAGCGAAAGGGTCTTATTGGAAACATTTATTAGAGTAAGATAGTCACGCATTATGACTTTTTCAAGTCAGATCTTTTCCATATGTCCCTGTTAATTTAACAAATTTCGAATATTGCCAGCAACTTGTGTTCTTGAATAAAACAGTCAAGTGTTATTAATATATTAGAAACCCACGATGTAAAAGTTACTGAAAAGAATTTGTGGCCTTATATAAAAGTACAACTTTAGTCCATGAGTTCTTGAAACGGACCTTATAAAAAATATAAAAAAAGTACACCTTCTCATATCTTCAACGACCACTATAATGAATATATTGTATTGAAAACATATGGTATACGATCTATTTTTATTATACCATTTAATAGTAATTGAAAATAAAAAAAGGAAAAATAAATTTTCCAGCCAATTTATTCGTTCCTTACACAGGCTGTATTGAAATATTTTTAGAAAAAAGGATTACGGACTTGATTCGCATTAGATACAAGGCAGTAAATCACTTATTGAAAACAAGTCTTTAACGTAGATCCTTAACGTTTTTTTGGGAAATGATTACTTTTATAACGTTAGCCTGGAGATATGGAAACATTGCATTAGAATGAAAGCTCATGGTTTAAAATATCTGCAGTAAAAAGTGAAACTAATAGCCTTGATACAGCAAAGTTACGAAGCTTGGAGGACTTTTTTAATTCCAGTGGATGCAAATGGAGATCTATATTTTAAAATTTCTTTTTCTTTTGGATTGGTAATATAGTCCAACCAAAAATTTTTGATTGCAGAAGGCTATAATGATTCGGAAAATGATAGAATAATATGCTTTATTTTTAACAATGACACATATTGTCATTAGACTCCCTAATTCCCCGAACCTCATTCAACCATTACACATCCACATCCTAACCTGTACATTCGTCGTGGAATTCCTTACATGCTATCTGCTTTATAGATATCTATGAGCTACTACAACAAGAAGAGAACCTAATTCAATTGCGATATAAGTGAAAGCATGTTGGGAGATATTGATTTTTGAATATATACTTGAAAAAATAGTTGAAATAAATAAAGCAAAGAAAAAGAAAATAAGTGTTGGATTCCTTCACAAAAAGATGATTGGAAAGCATTAATTATTGGAAGATGACTAAAGATAAATTATAAAAAATAAAGTCGGACAACAGATAAATAATAGATGTATATAATAGAGATTTTTATAAAAAAAAGATTTAATAAGTGTAAAGTTGAATATAAATTTAAATAAATGTTAAAAAAACATTAAGAAGTTTTGCGTACTTTTTTGGATTAACCACATACATTTTTTTTAATGATATGTTTATAAATTTTTTTGTAATAAAAATGTATTAAGAAACAAGGGTAAGAGCGTAACTCATGTAGTTTAAAAAAATTATTTAAATAATTAAATATGAGAAATAATTCCAAGATCACTGACAATCGGTAATATTCGAAACAGAAATATCTGAATAAATTATTTTTAGAAAAAAGTAAAACATTCACTTTATTATCTAAAAATATAAATAATATATAAGTGAATCTATTTGAATGATTTTAAAAAACGACCTGTTTGCTTTCACATTCAGAAACATCTACAATATGTACTTATGAAGCGCACATTTGTATATAAACATAATTATGTTGTTGGCAACATTAGTTATATTGTTGGCAACATCAGTTATATTGTTGGCAACATTAATTATATTGCTGTCAACATTAGTTATATTGCTGGCAACATTAGTTATGTTGCTGGCAACATTAGTTTTATTGCTGGCAACATTAATTGTGTGCGTCATATTTGTAATGCGATTTGTTGACGAAGTAATTTTACAAACGGCTACGCAAGCTCATAAGCTCTCAATAGCTTTCATACAAGTTGCATTGGCTTAATAATAATACGGTTTTTTGTTTGTTTTTTATTTATTCATTCATGCAATGTCATTAATTTTTTTTTAGTAATTTTTGGAATTCAACATTGAACCAAAATTGATCAAGTATTTAGAGTTATATTTATTTGATTATATATAAATAAATAAAATTTAATATAATATATTAAAATAATAGAAAATAATTGTTTTAAACTCACCAGCAACATTTTGTATTTGTCAACAGCTGGAAGCTTTCATACGTTAAGCGAGAGTTACAAGCAAATAAAAAAAAATTATTTTTTCCAAAGACACTCTTAGTTAGCAAAGACACTATTTTTCAACACATTAAATATAGAGATATATACTTTATATATATTTATATTTTTTATAATAAAACACTTGATTCATTTACACAATTATTTATCAAAACACAAAAATAAATAAAACATAAACTCAATATAAACTAAACTCATAAATAACACATTTGATATAGAATTTAAAAAACGGGACTTCGCCACGACGCGTTAGAGAGAATCGTACAAACCCGGTTAAGCTTCTCTACTCCGCACTGCCTTAGTCACAACTGAAACTTTATTTTTGCATAAACAATTTTTTGCTGAATTCGATCCAGTAACGGCATTCGAAGATAGAAATTTAATAAAGCTGAGCTGAAACTCGAATCATATTTTGCAGTGTCACTTAATATAAAAATATTTAATATAAAAATTTTTATTTATAAATAATCGAAAATAATTATTATACATAATTTATTATATTCAGCTGAGGGACTTCAATTGCCATTATAGGTACATAACCATACTATATAATGTTTTAGGTTTGTAAGTCTTTCAATAAAAACTATTACATTATTATTAAATAAATATTTTATGTAATATTACATAATGATAATGCGAAGATAATGGAAAGATAATGGAAAGATAATGCTTTGGATTTGCTGGAACTTTTACACAGAATTTTTAATCTGATTGAGATCTTTAACATATATTATATAGTAATAGCATAAGTAATATAATTGTATAACACATACAAATTTTTTTGTGTGGTGAGAAGGTGGATTATATTATGCACCGTCAAATCGATAGTCGTTAGAATAGTGTGCCCGACTTCCTAACATATACACACATGTAGTATGTACACATGTAGATCATTCTAAAATACCCCCACTTCGGAGAGACATCGACATTTATGTTGACGTTTAAAATTATGCTCTGACTTATGATCTGCGTCCGAGATTTCTGCTTCTCGTTTATAAATTCAGAAAAAAAATTTAGGAATTTGGTTGATATAACCAGATTTCAATTTAATCTCTGCTCAAAATATTCCTAATCGACGCATCATGTTGGTTCAACCATACCACATGTTGGTATGGTTATTTAGTTTTATATAGCTGTTGTAGAGTATAGTTTTTCGATTTTGATCAATACGACATATGATCAAGGTCTAGTCTCGAAAAGTATGTATGCAGAGCTTCAAACAAATAGCTCAAAAACTATCAGAGTACAGGAATAGGGCTAAATGAACTCAAATTACTAAGCTGATCAAGAATATATATACTTTATGGTGTCTATGACGTTTTCTTCAATGCGTTACAAAAATCTTGACAATCGAATATATTTCATTTTTACAGTTCCTTGCATAAAGGAAAAAAAATTAATATATAGTGAAAATTTTTCCTCAATATAAAATAATTAATCTACTAAAAAGTATATATAATGGAGATAAAAGGAATTAAGTCCATAACAACTTGGTTCGGTAGGAATTGAAGAGTAAAAATCTTTTTCTAATCATAATATAAGGAAAATGTGAAGAATTTAAATTACTATAGGTTTAAATATTTATAAATACTTAAAAAAAATTCATTAGTTTTATGTTATACACTATATTAATATTATTTTTAAATAAAACATTCACTTATTCATTTAAATAAAATATATTTTTATTTGATCAAGTTTACCACAAAAGTTTATTATATTTATTTTTGAATATATATAAATATTTGTTTAGAGTTTGATTTTTCTGTATTTATATAAAGTTGTTCACTTTATTTAGTTTATAGAAATAGATACATATAATTCGAGTTTCATCATATTAAAAAATATTTAATTTTTATTTAAAACATAATTATATAGTTAAATTTTTATTAAAAACTTAATTTCATTTATATTTTTTCTATTAGATTATTTTATATATCAAATGATTATAATTACTAAGTAGAAAATAATTTCAAAATTATTTATATATAATAATATATAAAACTTTAATAGCATATACAAGATTTTAGTATAAATTATTTAAACTAAATTTAAAATTATTAGAAGGTACAGAAATGATTTTTTTTTTTTGTAAATTCGAATTAAAATAGCTTTGCTAGAGGCATTTTTATTTTGATTTCATATAAACTTTTATGATAGTTAATATATTAACTATTAACTATATTAATATATTATTAACTACTTTTTTTTTAATATGACTTTTATATATTAAATAGTAGCTTACGTAGCAGTTAGTTGACTTCATTTATATATACTTCAATAAAGAAAATTATACAAAAAAAAAATATATTTAAATAAGATATATATAAAATATATATACATATATACATATATTTAATATATTTAAATATGTTTAAAATAAGTTGCATGTATATATATTTATATATATA